TCATGAGGCTGAGTTGAAATTCCTCTAACACTAGAAGTATTTTTTATAACAATTCACAATATTTCCCTAAAATTCACAAGACTAGCAATGAACATTCTAAAATTCAAACAAAGTGTGATGATAATGCTTCTTTAACAAATTCTTTTTTTGTAGATGCGATAATGACCACAAATAGTATGCATTAGTCTGTGAATGGTCAGATTTTCTCTGCTTTTCCTAGTTACTATGAAAAATGACAATGTCTTGTTGTTGTTTCAAACACAATTTTGTGTGGACTCCTAAGGTTTTAATCTGCTGCACAGCACAAGTTAATATCTGGCCATGTAGTGATCTACAATAATTAGAATGCAAGATGTTATGTTTTTTTTCTGCACAGTTGGTTAGACATATGCAATCTGTGGTTACAATTATATATCAGATACCATGTGTACAGTATGTGTCTAATTTTAGACAGCATAACTTTTAAATTAAAACTTAAGAATTACACATACTGAAGATATCTGAGTGAGTTAAGGTTAATGCTTTCAGAAATCCGAAAAAATGTATGGCCTTCAAAAATTGTCCTATTTTAGTTGCTTGCTCAAAACTTTCATTTCTTCATTTTGCTACAGCTATATATTTTGAATAAAATAAAGACTCATCTTACTTGACTTTTTAGTTTTCAAAAGAATCGCAATTCGGACAAAAATCAGCTCATTAGTACATTGATCCAAATTCAAAATTTCCAAACAGTACAGTGGAAAAATAAACGAATGAACTAATTGCACAATAAACAAAATCCATACATGAGTGATTTGTTCATGAATTCATTCTCGCGAATTCATAAAGTTGATACCCCTATGTCGGATTTACATATTTGAGGGTTCAACATTATGGGGGGAGTTGTGTTTAGTTGATCGCTCCCTATTTTTTATCCTTAAATATGGCAATCCCACATCAGGGTTCCATATTATGTATTAACAAAAGAAAGATGGGCACACCCAATTAATAGCCATTAACGGTGGACTAAGAAATAATATAATATATTATATACATAAGGGTGCTCACTCCAAAAGCTCCATTTCCAAAGAGCTACTAATATAATCATATAATAATGAAAGGAGGAGCACAACCAATAAAAATGCAAAAAACCTTATTGTACAGGCACACATATAACAGGTATAAACAAAAACATAAGACAATATACTTAAACATATCTACCCAATATGTAAGCAATGACTAGGACCAAAGAAAAAAGATCAAAAATAGAAAAAATTCTGATCTAAATAATCCACATTAAGTGGTATAACCACGGATAGCGCCGAAATATTGGGGGCTATTTTGTGTTTGACCCTCTTCTCATTTGTCTTCACCCTCATCTCGTGTTCCTTGATAGGTTCTGTGTTTGGTATGTATTTTTTGGTCCATTATCTTATACACGTATCATTACATTCCTTTTTTGTATCTGGGGTTATACCACTTAATGTGGATTATTTAGATCAGAATTTTCCTATTTTTGATCTTTTTTCTTCGTATCAGTATCAGGACATATAGGAGGAAAGGGAAAAATAATAGTGCAGAGTTTCTATAAACAGTTCAAATTTTTAATACAATTTGCACTTACAGGATAAAAGCGAAAAATAAGCACATCACAATGTCTCACTTGGTGCAGGAAGACAGGAAACCCCAATAGTATAGTCAGAGCACGGGACACAATCCTTCTTGAAGCACGAAAGTGATATTACAAATAAAATTAAGAATAAATAAACAAACATAAAAAAAAAAACTCTAACACTCTAAAAATGCCCTACGTGTTATGTCCATTAAGCATGTACTTCTTTAGGGTTAACAGGGCACAAATTCTTTCCTCGTGGTGATAAAATCACAAAGTGTTGCTGGTCTGCTTTTTAAATCAGCCGGGAAGCTATCGCGGGTTGCCTTTAGCCTATCCACATGGAGACAGATCAGCTGGAGCTCATTGTTTGAAGGCTGGCAATTCAAGCCTCGTTTTTGCCTCATGTTCTGTCTACGATCTGTCACATCATATTTGCTTGCCGGTATGCGTTCCACTTGTGATAATGCGTTCCACCCTCGCAATGGGTACAAATGTCCATAGTGTCAATAATACCGAAGAGCAGCACAATACAAAGAAAGACTAAAATTAGCAAAGCAAACTTCAAATACAGTAATGTACGATCTGACATCACAGATCGCGGATGGAACAAGAAGCGAAAATGCTGCTTGAACCACAAGCATTTAAACAGTGAGCTCCAGCTGATCTGATCCTGACTTTCATACTGCAACATACTGTGATGTCAAGTGAACATGCAATGCCATCACGGTTGGCCATTGTCAGGATTACAGTTGATCCAGCACGCAGAATTGTATCACACCTAAAGACTAAGGATAACGTCTAACCGAACCTTAGAATGGCCGGACTTAACATACCCAAGAATAGTCAAAATGCTCGCCGAGGTCAGGGACGCAGAGTGAAACGCACCGATGAGGAAAGCCAGAAGTCAAGGGTACCAGAAATCAGGGAAGGCAAAACAAAGCCAAAGTCAAATACCAGAAAAAGCACGACCAGGAACACACTCTCGGATAACCAGCTAGTGGAAACCACGACAGGGCACTGGCAAAAAGGTAATTTAGGTTGAAATAACCCTCTTTAGGCTGTAATTTGCTGTCTCCGACCTCTGGCCCAAAAATGTGCGTGCACGTCTATGACGTGGCGTCGCACGCACGTTGGAGCGATCTTTAATGTGGGTGAATGTAAGTTTATAATAAAATCCTGAACCACAGCAGCCGGCGTTCCTAAGAACGTCGCATCCACTGGGAACCAGAATGGAGGGAGACCGGGCAGCTTCCCGCCACGACCAAGTTCAGTTAGAAACTTTTCTGTCGGCGTGGCTGTCTAGTTGATGTGCAGCCACCCTGACAGAATAACTGAGAGCCGTGACAGCCATAGAGAATCATTGTATTTAATATCTTGTCTCAAAGAAAATGGAAAATAACATAATTTAGTAAAACATTGAAAATCACCTATAACTTGCGCTAACCTTTTTTTTTACATTTTTTTTGTGTAATATAAATTTAGCAGTTGAAATCACAACCAGTAATATTGTTTCTGCCTCATCTCACCTCTTTACTGTGTGTTATTACAGTGCCGGACTTTTAAGAATGACTGACAGAGATCCAAGATACATTATTTTGAAAAATATAGTGGTGTGAATTTCTACAGTAAATTTTTATTTGAACAGCATACTAGGCAATTGTACTTTTATGTTTATGAGAAATGCAATCAATTCAAATAAATTACTTATTATTATTGGCTATTTTTATATAGTGCCAACATATTCTGGAGCACTTTACAATTAAAAAAAAGGGAATATCTAAAAGGGGAAGAAGGCCCTGCTTAAACAAGCATACAATCTATGAAGATTTGAGGTTGGCAGATACATATTGTTAGGTTTCTTTCCTAAGGACACTTACTATTGAGGTGATCTACCTGGAATTTAAACTTGAGTTTCCCAGTTCTAAGGCATTGTTGCAACCATTGCACTAACCACCCAAATATTAAATTTGCATAAGTTTGAAAAACTTATTTAAAAATATTAAATGGAGGCCGGTGTTAGTTAATGAATTTTAGTTACCTGGATGCTACACATTTGTAATATGGTCATTTAATAAATGTATAAAAGTATAAGCAAAATTGAATTATAACTGTGAATTATAACTGTTATATTATATTGAAATGTCAAGCTTGCAAGAACACACCAATATTGCTCATGTTGAAGGACAGCTCACTAAACATTTGTAGTTTTTTATGTATTTTACATAATTATATTTTAATAATAAATATATTTATAATTTCAGACCCATAATACTTGCAGTCAGTTCTATTAAAAACGTAATTAAATTTTGCCTCTAAGCACATTCTTGGATGACTGATTCATCAGCAGATCATTTGTGTGTTGAGCTTGTTCAATTTTGACACATTCTATCTTGCCACCAAAGTCTGCATTGTCTAAATAACATAATGTTCTTTAAATTATAAATAAACCACATTTTAGTATATGAGGTGTAAGCAGTCAGTGTGAAGAAAGAAAATACATACTAAATAAATGAAACATGTCCAGACTTTTATTTTTATTGTATTTCTTACATTTGACTACTGGTTATGTTGCATTGCAAAAAGAGCTTACGTAACCATGTGACGTTTCTTTCCTTAAGGTAATTTGATTTTTATTGCATTTTCTATAATATATCAACATTGAAAATATTCTGAATATGGCTACATTTTCCATATTTAGTATAACAAACTGTTATGAATATTCATTGGATTTAAACAAGACAACCTGATTATTTTGATGTGATATTCATTTATGATTAAGCATTGATCAGAGCTTATCACTACTAATGAAATAAAAATGTATTTTAATCAAGAAAGACACTTGACTAATATTCATTTTTATTTGAAATAAATGCTACCTCTTTTCAAGACATAAATAAATATTACTTAACCCCTTAAGGATGGAGCCAAATGTACACGTTGTGAACAAAACAAAATGTAAACAAAACCGGGCATTTGCGCTACATGTCTGTCCAACCGTAATTCACCTCTTTCATATTAAATGCACCCACCCTTATTATATATCATTTTATTCAGGGGAAACAGGGCTTTCATTTAATATCAAATATTTAGCTATGAAACATAATTTAATATGAAAAAATGGGAGAAAATATGATTTTTTTTAATCACAGTGAGAGGCACGCAAGCGCCTCTAGTGATTGTCAATGAGACAGCCACTAGAGGATTAGGGGGAAGGCTTAACCCATTCATAAACATAGCAGTTTCTCTGAAACTGCTATGTTTATGAAAAAATGGGTTAACCCTAGCTGGACCTGGCACCCAGACCACTTCATTAAGCTGAAGTGGTCTGGGTGCCTAGAGTGGTCCTTTAAGCCTAAGGTATGTGGAAACTTCTCTAGAGGGAAGTGTATATTCCTATTGGAGATCCGGGAATGATTTTAGGCCCTCATCTGTGTACATCTGTGCGACTGAAATTACGCCTCTGTGTCTCCATGGCTCCAGATTGATGTTGACAGATAACTCCGAAATCGTCTGTATGGGGGCAAAGTATATGAAGTTATCTGTGCCACTAAGGGTGCTAGCCCATTTCTTCCATCTGTTAACTAAAAATCTGGTACTAGTCATTGGGTTGTGTTTGGTAGATTTCCATGTCGAAAATGACCGTAGTATGTTGCTTAATGTGTGGGTGCGTATGCACGCATTTTCAAGGGGGACCCAAATTGGCGGTATAGGACGTGTTAGAATTTCTAGTCCCTGTGCCAAGACTACCGCTCTATAATATGCTTTAACATTGGGGATGCCCAGACCTCCTCTTGCTGGCGGCAGCCAGGTAATTCGTTTGGCTATTCTTGGAGGTTTTTTCTTCCAGATGTATGCGTTGAATATGCTTTGGAACCTGTTCAGTAGATTGTTTCCAAGGGGGATGGGTATGGTGCAGAATAGATATAGGATGTGAGGGAGTGCCATCATTTTAATAGTATTCACCCTCCCTAGCCATGAAATTTCTAAATTTTGCCATATGTCTAGTTGTGCTTGTAGTTTGTAAAGTAGGGAATTATGGTTTTCCTTAATCAGCTGAGATGGGAAAGTTGTCAAATTGATGCCTCAATATTTCAGTGAAGTTTTTCTCCAGTCAAAGGGATGTTGTGTTTTGAGTTTCTGGAGCTGATATGCCTATTGGTAACGCTTGTGTCTTTTTGAGATTGTTATTGTAATATGACACTTGACCATATTGCTGAAGCAGGTCCATTAAGTTTGGGATTGAAGTTTGTGGGCATGTAAGGAATGCAAGTACGTCGTCCGCAAAAATGACCATTTTGTGGACTCCGGTCGGGGTGTTTAGACCTTCTATTCCTCTGTTTTTTTTAATGTGTAGTATGAGTGGTTCTAGACATAAAATAAATAAAAGTGGGGATATCGGGCAGCCTTGACGTGTGCCATTGCTGATGTGGAAATTGTCTGATATGAACCCCGAGTTGAAGACTCTGGCCAAGGGGTATCAGTATAGGGCCATAATTCCCCTCAGAGTTGATGGTGTAAAACCCATTTTGTGTAGCGTTGCTTCCATGTACGACCAGTTCAGACGGTCAAACGCCTTTTTGGCGTCGAGCGCCAGAACCGCCCCGCTTGTTTGCTGATTTTAGCCCATTTAATGAGATTTATGAAATGTCTGGTATTGTCCCCTGCCTGTCTCCCGGGGATGAATCCCGCTTGTTCTATTGAAACCAGATCAGTAAGGTGGGGTTTCAGTCGTGACGCCCAGAATTTCACATATAGCTTAATATCTGCATTAAGCAGGGATATAGGTCTGTGGTTTTCACATAAAGTAGGTGGTTTGCCCGGTTTGGGTAAAGTCACTACGTGTGCTTCCAGCATCTCTTTTGGGAGGTCACACAACTTTTTGATTGCACTGAATAATGTGGTGAGGTGTGGTGTTAAGAGTTTTTCTAGTTTGTGATAATAGTAGTTTGAAAGACCATCTGGGCCCGGTGCCTTGGTTTTGGGTAGGGATTGTATTGTAAGAAATTATGACCCTCTTACAAGGATATTCTTTTAGGGAATGTGTGACAAATAAGACATAAACACAAGTGTATAATAAAATGTATTGTAAATATTCATTTAAGGATACTGTTAGATTTTAAAAGGATATACACAATATACATTATACATTATATCTGGTACATAATCAAAAGCTACATAATAAAAAGCAATACTTAAACATTTAAATGCAGGTCTTCCCCTTGCGCCTTCATCTTGGGTAATCTGGGACAGCCTCTCTTAGTTCACCATGGCCCTGCTTGCTGCGTTGTCCTCTCCAAAGAGAGAGAGAAAGAAAAAGAGCCTTCCTTGGTTGTTGTCCTTTTAAAGACTGATTCTTGGAGTAATAAACTACAAGTCCCAGAATCCCTTTTCCCTCCCAAAAGTGGTTTATCCCGCCCTCTTTCTCCAGAGAGTTCTGTCTTTACACAAGTCTTTCCCTTTGATCTCTTCCCTCCAGCCATACTGTAACATTGTGAAAGACCAGTTGATTAGGTTTCTTGGTAGATTGGACTGCTTGGGAAAACACACACTTGCATGGTTACACCTAGATGTCTATTACTCTGATCTCCTGATAACATGCAAGGAATACTGGAGGGATGTAAACTTTTGTTTTAGCTGGGTGTTGTAAAATGCAACTGAAAGCTTTGATCCTTATCACACTGTTATCAAGGAAATGACCCCCACTTGTGAAACCAGTCACATACACAGAAAGTTATATACAATATTGCAGTTTGGAATATCAATTTCTTACAGTCCCCACCTAAAGGGCGAATGACTCAACAATAATAAGAGCCCTCTCAAAGAAATACAGTATTTGAATTATGTGTGTTTTAAATGATTATGTGTTTTACTGAGACACAAATGACTTGACAACCACATATATTTATAATTTAGGGTACTGCAAGGCATAATTTAGCCAAATCATTGAGGCACTTACAGTTATCATTTTTCACCATTAATTTGAACTCCTTCAGCCATATCCGTAACCTTTCATTACCCTCATAGGCTCAGCATCACTGCAACCATTAGATTTCACTCCCATCACGCTCAGTTACCTGTGCCACCAGCACTGCTTCTACCACACTGTTCCTTTAACCCTGGCCTTGCTTACTTTGGGCTATTAGGCCTCTGACCTCTGCCCACCATGACACGTGGTGTATTTTCACACCAACAGCAGTTAATTTGCTGTTCACTTACATAGTGTATTAAAGAGACCACACAAGGGAGAAACATAGTTTATTGTTTGGAGTGGGGATCCGAGTGAAGGTGTTTGTGCACGTTTATTGGGAGTTTATTAAAAGTTGTATAGCTGGAGTGGGTTTGTGTTTGAGCCCTTGAGGATGTTTAATAAGTTTTCGATAGGCCCTTGGCTTCCGGAAATTAAAAGATTCTTAGCACAGAAAGTGCGCAGTGTTACATTATGCAAATCACTAGTGGTTTGATTATCATCCTTGTCTCAGTACTACTGTCTGGATTCACAAGTGGTCATCTAAAACATTGTAAACACAAATGTGAGCAAAATGCAACCAGTATTAATGTGTACTAAGGGATACGTCCTCATAACAGTATGAAATAATTTACTATAACCTTACTAAAACCATAAATATTTAACCCCTCGTGGAAAACCAAATAGAGCAAATAGAAAATGCAAAATCATATATTGTCGCTCACCCCACCTTGACTCAAAAACAATATAAAATATACAAACTGGTCTAATTTGTCTATACGCTATACCCCACCTTGAGAGTATAAATTAAAACAAAAACAAACAAAGAATAACCATTATCATTCTATTGTTCACCCAACCTTGACCCAAGGAAATGTAAATATATGCAATTATCTGTTTTCCCTATATTCCCTTTAGAGTGTGAAATACAATAAAAAGCATAAGAAAACAACAAAATCAAAGAAGATGGAGAGAGAAAAAAAGTAGATTGAATGCTACCATTACCTTCAGTCATTGAACTGTATACAAAGTTTGGCAGCGTGCAATCTAAAGAAAACTGACAATGGTCTGTTGCCTTTCAAAGATTAAAATCAAAAATCGGCTTGAGGCTATTTGTGTTGGTAACCAAATGAAAAAAAAGACAAAAACAAAAATATTTACTGTTGTAAACCAACAGACAGTTACACTATCACATCTCTCCAGTGTGATCAACGTATAAACCTCACCTTGGCAACAATTCATCTAATCTAGAAATATATAAAATTAGTAATCCAGTATCAAAATACAAAAATAAAACATAGCTGGAAGTGCAGGTGTGCTAAACTAATAAAAACAAAAATAATTTGGAATTTGGACCACCTGACTGATAATGAATGAGTTTAGAGGCTTATCCTTAATATGAAAAAAATAATATAAAACTACATATTAAGGTCCTCTATCAACTGGAACTGTATTTTTCCTGAAATAAATAAACATGTTAAATGGTTGGTCTTCTCACAGGTCTATATTTGTCTTCCTTCTCAATTGGCATCATCTCCGTAGTTTTCTAAAAAAACAAACTTCAAGAGAAAGTTAATATCACACAACTAGAATAGGTCATTCAAGAAAAACTGTATCTATTATCAGATTCTTTGTGTTAACCATCTCCTCTAATGTACTTAATTGTGCCTTGAGACAATCCAGTTTTTCAAGGAACTCATTTCGTTCACATGTTAGAGAAAGATTTTCTGCCTTTAGTTGTCTATTCTGTGCTTTAAGCACATGGTAGGGAATCCAGGGTCCTGTGAGGGGGATACCATTATTATCTTTTCTCTGGGATCTCCACCTAGGGTGATTATTTTTATTTCCCAGAGTCCATCTATTACACATGGGCCTTTCATGATGAATATGCACATCTGATTTACAGAATTTTTCAATATGTCCCATCCTACCACACCTAAAACATGTAATGGATTTTATATGTGGGGACTTTCTCTGATTGATATATCTGTGAGGTTGGGGACTTTGTATCAATGACACTTGTCTTTTATTTACTTTTCCTTGATTTAGTAAAATTGCTTCAGACCTTTTTAAGCAATTCAGTATATTTACAAAGGTGTCCTGTGGGGACACAGTTAAACCAATTAACACTCGAATATCTGGCAGTGTCCTATTAAGTAATGCTTTCTTATATGCATATTCATTCTGATCAGCATGTGTTCCAGGTGGAACAGTCAGTTTGAATAAAACAAATAACCTATTTACAAACCCTTGAACAGACTCCCCTCTCTTCTGAGCACAATTACCAAAAGCAAAATGATGATTTACTTCCTCTAGACCAAGTGCGTTTAATAACTCTTTGATAAGTTGTTGCTTGGTTCTAGGTTCTATAAATATCTCATGTGGCAGACTTACTCTTAGTGACTGGTCTGTACTAGCAATTATAACATCAAAAATATCCAATTCATTTAAGTTCCTGTGGATTTTTTCAAATTGATCAATTTTTAACATTACATCTACTGGATCATCATCCAAGCGTATACATCCCAGTTCTTTGCTCAGTGCAATAACCTCTGTATGTTTTAAGGAATGGGTCACAGTAGTTTTATGTAGTACATTTCCCTGTGCATCCACCATGTGCTCTGTAGAGACTGGTGCCATTTTAGCAGGAATACTGCACTCACAATTACTATAATTATTATGAAACACCTCCATCTTTGTTGTACACAAACCTCCACAATTGGTTTTCAGCCCATATTTAGTAGCAGCAAAACCATTTCTTTTTGTTAGTTTACATTTTAAATCATCAATTTCTTTAAGGCACACAGAATGATCAGCCTCTTTCTGGCTGCTGGAAGCAAGGATTCTAATAGCACCCTCTGCATCCTTCAGCCTTTCTACAAGCTGCTCATTACAACTGTGCAATTCCTCATTTTCAAGACGCATTTGCTGACTACCTACACACAAAGCAGCAGCATTTTGCGCAGACAGTTTAAAACCTTCCACTTCATTCTTTAAGCTCAAAACATCTGCCGCTAATTTCTCTTTTTGCCTATTTAAAGATTTATACTTCTCCGCAATCCAACGGGCAGCATAAATCAAAGCAATTTTACCACTAGATTTGGACAATTTCTTTTCAATAATTGCCCTGGCCACATAATCCTGAGCATTAAGCCACGGATCTAATGCACCATCCATACATTTAATTATTGCTTCCGGATTAGACACCTTAGCAATCTTTTTCAATAAACTCTCCATCATTGACAACGCACAATTCACTGAAATGTCTATACACAATATCTGAACAGTATCCACAAGTAAATATACAATCTATACAATTATGAATATGCTCATAAATCACACTAAATCCCTCCTACCTGGCTTGCCAATTTGTAAGAAATTATGACCCTCTTACAAGGATATTCTTTTAGGGAATGTGTGACAAATAAGACATAAACACAAGTGTATAATAAAATGTATTGTAAATATTCATTTAAGGATACTGTTAGATTTTAAAAGGATATACACAATATACATTATACATTATATCCGGTACATAATCAAAAGCTACATAATAAAAAGCAATACTTAAACATTTAAATGCAGGTCTTCCCCTTGCGCCTTCATCTTGGGTAATCTGGGACAGCCTCTCTTAGTTCACCATGGCCCTGCTTGCTGCGTTGTCCTCTCCAAAGAGAGAGAGAAAGAAGAGAGCCTTCCTTGGTTGTTGTCCTTTTAAAGACTGATTCTTGGAGTAATAAACTACAAGTCCCAGAATCCCTTTTCCTTCCCAAAAGTGGTTTATCCCGCCCTCTTTCTCCAGAGAGTTCTGTCTTTACACAAGTCTTTCCCTTTGATCTCTTCCCTCCAGCCATACTGTAACATTGTGAAAGACCAGTTGATTAGGTTTCTTGGTAGATTGGACTGCTTGGGAAAACACACACTTGCATGGTTACACCTAGATGTCTATTACTCTGATCTCCTGATAACATGCAAGGAATACTGGAGGGATGTAAGCTTTTGTTTTAGCTGGGTGTTGTAAAATGCAACTGAAAGCTTTGATCCTTATCACACTGTTATCAAGGAAATGACCCCCACTTGTGAAACCAGTCACATACACAGAAAGTTATATACAATATTGCAGTTTGGAATATCAATTTCTTACAGTATGACTTGGCGGATTTCTTCTTCTGTGAATGGGCTGTCTAAGTATGTGCTCGTTTGAGAGGTGAGTCGGGGAAGGGTTATATCCCCTAAGAAGGTATCAATGTTAACATTACTGGGTTGAGGTATCGTGGGACCATCTTTTAGGTTGTATAACTAATCGTAGTATCCTGCTAATTCAGGAGGGGTTATATTGTTTACCTTTTGCTGAGGAGTCAATGTTAGGTATTTTAGTTTGTAGTTGTTTGGATTTTAGTTTGTTAACCAGTAACCTACCCGCTTTGTTTCCCTGTTTGTAGTGTTTTATTTTAAGGGATCTCATCCATCTTTCGGTAGTCAGGAGTTCGAGTGCATGTAGTTCCTTCTGAATTTCATTTATGCGTGTCGTGAGAGGTTTGGACAGATTAGACTTGTTTTGTGTCTCTAAGCTTTTTAGTTCCTGTTAAAGATTTTTATGAGTGTCATTTGCGTGTTTTTTACGTTTTGATCCTTCTCTAATAAATATTCCTCATATGACTGCCTTGTGCGTGACCCAGACAGTTTGTATTGGGATAGAGTCTTTTGTGTTGTGTATAAAATAATCGGTTAACTCCCTGGTTACTTCGGTCAACACCTGTGTGTTGTCCAACAGTCCCTCATTTAGCCTCCACTTCCCTCTACCTCTTGCTGATGCAGAGCCTGAAAGGTGACCACCATTGGGGCA